CATAATTCTTCGATTTAATTAAAATAACTAAATGATTCATTTTTGCCTCAGTTCGCGCTTGTTGTGGAAGAAAATTATCGAAAAGCAAAGAACAGCATATGTAGAACGTTATTTTTTTCATATAGAACGGGTACAGCCGTCGCATATAAAGTTAGTTAGAGATGCTTATCGCGAGAGCCTGTGCAAATAATACACGTAAACCCACGTGATGCCGGGAATAAAAAAAAAAAACCCTTAACACACAATGAACACTTACACATATAATTGATTAATTAGAATCCATTTATTATTGTTAACAAAAAATTTATAGTTAATAAGAATAGAAATACTTTCAAACATTTCGTTGTGTGGATATTTGGAAAAAAAAAAAGGGGAATAATAAATATATGAATGAATGCGAAAAACAAAAAAAGGGCTTTTAATTGGTTTATTACAACAAAGTCCTGAAGATTTATCGCCGCTTTTATGTGCATGGATGCAGAGAAGTGACTCCATGAACTACTATGCATAAGTTTATTCGGCAGCCAGTGAAGCAGTCACCATCACCTTGTTACACCACCAGCCACGAATCAGAGGGAAGTAATAAAATCGAAGGCAGAAGCAACAACAACAGCAACAACTTATCGGGAGCACTAGGATAGCTGCAGCCGACAGGGAAAGCAGTGATATTCACCAAGTAAACGAACACTACCACCTTGCTTGTACTGTAAGTTATGTTATCTTTTCCTTTAAGCTATCCGATTTTGTTGTTACCCATGTGTGGCTAAGCGTGCGCTGCCACCGCTGTGGCTGAGGTGTAGGGGCGTGCACATGGTGGCCATGTAGGGCCGACGCTAGACGATGACCGACTGACCCACTGGCGACAGACGCACAGCCGGAAACTGACCAGACCTTTTCGTTCATTTAGTTTGTTTTTTTATTATTTCAGTCATTTTATTTTTGTTTTATTTATTTATTTTTTTTTCTTTGTCTAAAGAAAAATTTTTTAAATCCTCGGCGGCGAGGAAAAGAAAAAAATTCAAGAGTTTCATGACACAATGCCTAGAAATAAGTAAAAACATTATAAAGAAACACGGCTCGCCGTTAACTAGCTTACTTACATCACTTCGCTTAGTACGGTTATTCATGTGACGGCTTTTTAAAATAAGGTTCACCTGAGTAGACGAATATGTAAGAACCACGGCTGCCATGGGTGCGACGCTGACGTGATGTGGATTTTTCTTTGGCCATAGCTGTAGTGAGTGTGCAATCGGTAAGGGCATAACGTTTATCGACTGGGCACACACCCATTAGGGGCCAGCCCCCACCTCCGTATTGCTTTCTTTCCCTTCTCCCTCTTTTTTCTGACAGTCACCGTATTACACGGATAGCCAAATAAAAAACAAAAACTGTTATATGAAAGGTAGTCGAAAAAGTGCTACGACCCGCACCATTTTCAGTAGCGTTCGCTCTTGGACAAAAACACGTACCGACATGTGTACCGATAGTAAATTTCATCAAGAAATATCTTAAAGATGGCAGTTGAAAAAATGAAAGCACAACGGACGAACGGACGGACGGACACAATTCTATCTCAAATTCCTCTGGATATTGCGTACATTCGCACAAGCTTTATATAGCTTTGTTTGTAAGTTGTCTAGGGCATCAACGTTAGCTAAGCAAGTAAAACATGCAAAAAATAGTATATAAATGTTTAGAGTTTTCTTAATACTTGAAGGAACCCCCTTTTTGCTTTTTAGTGATTATTTCCTAACATCGCAAAACTCTATATATAGTGAAATGAGTATCTAACTCAGAGTACGAGTTTCCATGCCCAGATACTTGATGCTGCGTGTTATCCGATATATGTATGTTATGTAAAAGAAGATTCACTGCGCTTTACCTACAAATACAGTAAGGAACAGACTAAAAATAGACTAGGGACCTCGAACCTATCCAAAACAATCATATAGGTGGTGGTCTATGCTACGCAGAATTCCCCTTTAGACAGCACTCACATTATCTATTAACGAAGTTTTAGTCTGTGCTAAGAGAAGCCAAGTATAATGGATTTATAGTCTCGGTCACCCTGGTTACTTTCTTGGTAATAGCTTAAGCCGCTGTATTCAGCCCAAAAGGATCCTATAGCAAAAACGGTTTTGATATATTTTCGTGAATTGGTGATATTCTCACGTTTACACACAACCGTGGAGAGTTCGAATATACTTTACACACTTTATTCAATGACATACTAACTTCAATTTTCAAAAATTGAAGAAAAATATGAAAGACAAGTGTACAGATAATGCAAGAAAAAATAATAGCGAAAAATACTAAAGGTAAACGGTCAAAGGGAGAAAATCAAAAGCCAAAGATTGTATTGCTTACGCTCATACATATTTTTTCTTAAGCAAGACGGTGCAAAAGCGCACACAGATATGTCTACCGTAGGGTCGCTATTCACGGCGTATAGACAAGAATGTATAAATTGTTTAGTATGACGGATTAAAGTGTAAAATAACAATACATGTCATGAAAATACTAACAACGATGGAATCGACTGTATACAGTAAATAGTTTAGATATCCATAGAGGCAAAAATTTTTGTTCTTTCTATAACCAGCAACGTAAGGGATGTTGCCTAGACGTGCGGACACGGTAGTGATCAGGAAGAGTCATAGGAAATGTGGAGTGATAAGAGGGAGTTGAGTTTGTGTGTGAACTTTACAAAATGAATGCAGCGGTAAGAAAAAGTTCGTAACGAAGTAGTTCCTTCGTTACAGTAGGTAATTGAGCTTATTTCTGAAAGCCAATTTAGTGGAATTCGCATTTCTCGCTGGAGATAAAGCTGGGATTTTAAGAATAATCGATTTAAAGACAAACGAACAAGCACAAGAACAGGTAGGGATACATATCTTCACTTTGGGAAAATTAATGAACATATAAATCAAGTCCTCGATTTTTTATTAATTGCGGACATACTCGCATGCCGGTTTTGGACTGTATTCACCTTAAGTGTTAGGTCATAAAAAAAGTCTTTGCGATTTTTTCCGCAGGATCGTATTAATGCCTATATATCCTACAAGACTCATCTGATTGTCTTAAACTAACACGTGCTTAAAAGGTGACGTTTCAGCTTACATTTTTTGTGAAGATAGTTTTCTAATTCGTCGCTCGTATACAAGAGGAAATACGCAGCATGATGCTTTTTTGCTATAGAAAAGATAAAACATAAAAACACACGCCGAATAATTTGTGAAGTGAGAATGCTGCGAGTGAACGAAGGACTCAGAAGTGCTTTGCTCGATTTCGCTGCGGAAATTTCGATGTCAAAGATGTATCTCGCTCTGGTTGAAAAAGTCGATGAAATTTTGCAGCTGGTGGAGCAAGACGGGCACGTAAGCTGTCAGGAAAAAGCGAGAAAATAAACACCAGCCACATGACAATTTGCGGAAAAACCGCAACAACATTTTATAAAACTCATTATTTAGATAATCCTAAGGAATGATTTCAGATCGATAACTGCTATACTGCATTAGTAGTTTGTAGCAAATTGCTGGTAGCACTAAACCAAGTCACGGGCTTTCCGGGCGATGCATGTGGTATACCATACTGCGTGACGTTTATTTTCGTAATCAGAAATCAAGCTTTCATAGGCGTATTTGACATGATTATTATAACAAAAAATCTTTTTCAGCCTCTTTTTTCTTTTCTTTTATTAATTTTGCCTTGTGGTCTATAATAGACTTTATTAAATGAACAAAGCCTACTGATCGATGACATGAAATAATAATTTTTGTTCCGTATTAGTTTTAATTAATATCTATTATCTATTATTGTAAATGCCAAAAATCGTTATTGCTTCCTTTCTATCCGAATTTAACACTAAACCTTAATTTTGAACTTTTGATGCTAAAAAAAGTAATTATAAATCACCAGAGAAACTTATTTGTATGAAAATACGCATAACCAGGGTTTTTTTATCGCGCTCAGCGATTTTTTTCGAGAAATTTGAAAGACTGCAAAAGTCCGATTCAATCTATTTTCATTGATGTTCTTGCTTGGGGCAAAAATGTTCACTCAAAACAAAATAAAAACTGGACAGACATTGGATAGACTTATGACAGATAGAAACATTAACTTCGAAAGCCTGGATATTTTTACAATCTTTTTACTCTCTGTAAACATTTCGACAAACTTCATTTGATATGTTCTCGTGTTTTATAGTAGTGTAGCGTATAATACAAAAACTTCTTCTCGCATATTTTTTTACGGTCTCCAACACTGTTTTTATCTCTTTATTGCTATAGAAATCAGCTGTTTTTAGAACACTTCTCTTGGGGTTTTGTGTTTTGTGTAATGCAGAGCAAGTGTTTTGTAAACAATTTTGACCGAATGTGTAAAGAAATTAATAACTACTCTAAGAATATTTAGTTTTTAAGTGAGAAAATAGTTCGCTGAAAATGGATAATAAAAAAGATATTTATAATTTATGGGTGCAATATACTACGAAGGTAAGAAATGAAAGCTATTAAGCGGGTTATAAAAATAATACGTAGACAAAAAAAAAAAAAAAAAGAAAAGATAAATAACTTAAGGTATTAATCATCGTCAACTCGTCCGTAAGGTAAGTAAATAGGTAAAACCTACATTTAAATGTACAAAAAGAATTTATGAAAACATGTCCGGATTGCATTGGAGGCCTAATTTACCACGAAGTGTTTAGGCCGTGATTTGCAGCCTTCACCTCAATGTTATATAATGAAAACGTAATTATATACCTCTATGTTTACATTATTTATTTAAAAGGAGGGTGTTTTCTCTAATTTACACAAACGTTTGCACTAATAGGCCTCTATAAACAATGTGTTTGCAGTTGTTGCTCTTTTAAGTCTTATTATTATTTATATCCATGTTTACTTATCTATTTATATTATTTTAATCTTTTGTTTTTAGAACGAAGAATCATATTTCCGTGAATTCATTGAACGATTTGTAAACATTTGGAGAAGCCAACTACCTTTGGATTTTAGCACAGTTGAATGCCCGTATTGGTATGAAGTTAAACCGGATAATGGTCCCCATTTGGGTCGGTTGCCTGATGAATTATTACCGGCTATTGGTAAATTTATTATTGTCGCTAGTGATCAATGTGCAAATGTAAGTGTACAATGAAAATATGGAAGCCAATATATCTTTACACCCGTCACCATAATTGCACGAACCTTGTCAAGAAAACAAAACAGTTTCGTAGATCGAATAATTTGTACGTCTTTTTTCTGATACGTGTTCAAAATGCTTTAAATAAGGCAAAGCTTAAGTCAAGTCCACGTAATTGTCAAGGATAATTCGATGTTAAAAAAAATCCCTTTCGTACAAAGCTTAAAAATTAGCGCTCATTAAATGCAAATTAATGAAAGTTACGATCACCCCGAAATCATTTTGTCCTTATAGTCACAATATATTGTAGGTGGTGGGTGTCAGAATGGTTGCCCTGAATCTTTTATATATATTATCTATGTATTTTAGGAAAAAATTTCAAATGATACTATACACCAGATATCAGTACTGATTGACTGTCTGGTTGTAATTTGCCGGCATTTTGATAATATTCTAGCTGTTATCAAATATGAATATAAATCTAATTTGATTGCCATTCTAACTCATGTATTCCAACAGGTATGTATACGAAAAACTTTTTTCGTAGTTAGGAAATATTTGCGTGTAGACAACTTATGAGTTACATTTGTTATTCTCCTAGACTTTAAAGAAAAAGAATGTCAGCAACGAAGTTTCACGGTTATTTCGCAGCTTCTCTCAATTCCTGGAAGTTATGTATGATCCATATTTGACATGGCGTAGCTTTCTGCGAAATAATTTTGCTGACTATAAGAAGCTTCCCTACAAACCACATAACGTTCATGTTGAAATTATACCATTTATATACGGTAAGTATACATATATTGCGTTTCTTAAAAAAATTAAATTTCGGCTTTCGTAACACTGGAAATCTTATAAAATACTTTCGGTGACAATGCACTATTCAAAGCGAGTATCTTTGATTTATACAAGTTGTTTAAAGGAAGTCCTATATCAAGCGCCTAAACATTTTTTACGAATCCAATTTAATTAACATAACAAAAAAAATGTGTGCATATGATGAATAGTCTTGGTACTGCTATTGCATATATAAATCCGTTTTTTATCTTTGCAGACTGTTTCCAGCATGACGATATTAAAAAATATCCGGTTATTGGTGAAAGTTTAATTCACGCCTTGGGTGCAATTATTTGTGGATCACAGGTATTTTGAGTGTTTCTATAATTGTTTTTTAAAATTATATATATATATATATAACTTTTATGCAACGGTGTTGGTTTCTACTTTAACATACATGTCTGCTTGCATAACAAATAAATCTAATATTACAGAAATCTATAGCTTCTATTAGTTGTTATTTTGATAAGCAAACTGGTGATGGTATTAAAATCTGTGATAACTTGGTGAGTTAATTAAATACACGTGATTAAAAATATTTCAAATATTATTTTGGGGCTTTCTCTCTCATAGCTTATTCCACTTTCAGTTTGTTGGAATTACCTCTTTAATAATTTTTTTATTTATCTCTTCAGCGTAACGGTATGAGAGCTATTTGCCCGGCTACTGTTTCAGTAGTCATGAAAATACTTGCGCAATGGGAAAGCACCAGTGATCTGCGCGTTATTACACTTAGGTGTTGTGCTTTGATGATTATTGTTCTACAGAAGTCTAGTCCTGAAGAGGTATTTACTTTTTAATATGCTGAGTCCAAACTTTTAGTTATTGAATAAATATGTTTAATTTCTGTTTTCTACAGCGCCAAATAGATTTAGTAACATTAATTAAACTTTACTGTGATGTTCTAGAACAATTAATGACTACAGAACATTTTCGTCAAACTGGTGATACTTTCGATATATCATCGGATGACGTTGATGCTAATGATTTGACAATAGATGTTAATGCCTTAGAATCTACAGTTGATAATGTTTGTGTATTTCTAACGGACAATACAAGTGCGTCATACATTTGTGAGGCAATCGAAGAAACCAGTCTAATGGATGTATTAATATCAATACCAAAAAAAATTAAAGATTGGAGCCTCAATTATGGCCAATTAATGATAAAAGTTATCAATTCTCTGGCTGCCATTACTCGTAATTCTATAAGAATTACCGATCATCTTCGCTATAATGATAAGATAGGTAAACTTTTTGACGGTCTAATGGATTTAGGCTTACCGTCCATAGCTTTATTGGAGGCTTGCATAAACTTGGCGTATAATGAAGAAATGGGTCTAATAATAGTGCCAGAAGTGCTTAATAAATTAATCGATTGGTTGCCGAACATAGATACAAGGGAACAAACGTATTTAAGTGAAAAGGTCTATAAATCGTGCGTCAATAATTATGGAACGTATGTTTGCCTTTAATTGATTTTATTAGGAAATCAAATTAATTGTAATTCTTTTCAATACATTTTTTAGTAAATCAATAGCTTGTGAAAATCGTATTATCCGATCTGTATGCTGCTGCTTGCAAGACTTTCATAAACTTTCCGATACTTGTATACAAAACTGTATAAAACTTATTGAAGAATTAAGTAAACTAAGTATTTTGCCGATTGAGTTAAAAAGCATATTCAGTTTATTGCGTAAAGAAAGTGCATTTCCGCATTCCAAACAATTACTACAAGTAAGTTACAAACAGATTATAAAGAGATGACAGAAATTTCATTTAATTTTTTCTTATCTAACTAGATGCTGGTGACAGTATCGTTGCAAACGTTGAACAGCAGCAATTTGTGTTCACAATATTTTAATTTCACAAAACCCAACGACGGTATTTTGGTAACAGACATAAAAAATTGGTCAATGTCGGGTTCATATGGCTTTATATTTCATATCTTGCTAAGGCTAAACGATAAAGTCGCGAAATCATCTAAGAGCAATAAAACAGAAAATACACAAGAACGTTCAAATTGTCGAAGGATGTTATTGAAGTAAGCAATGATTTTTATGGAAATATATATTTGCACATGTACAAATTTATATTATTACTTAATATATATATGGTGCTTATCATACATTTCTTTAGTTTGCGCACCGCGAGCAATACCGGTTTCGAAGTATTTATACAAAATAGTGGTAACGTAGTGGTAGCAGCTTTAACAAAACGTGAATATCTTACGTCTACAGTGAATTCCAGTGTTCTCTTAGATAGCCAGTGGCATTATGTGACTGTAGCTATAACACCACCAAAACGGCCGTTTTCCTATAGTCAAATTAATGTTCATATAGATTTTATGCAAAAAATAAGTGCGACGTTGAAAGTACAGGCCATTAACGAAGTAAATTGAAATTATACTCAAATGAAATTTTAACACTAAGTCAATTTACCTTTCAGCCGTTTGTCTTTTGTTCGGTCGGCTCTATTCTACCGGAAATCAAAACTCAGCAAGTAAAGGCATTGACAAATACCAATTCCTTACCTAGGTCATCTTCGCAGGATACCAGTCATAGTTATAAAGGCATGTTACCCAGTTTATTGGAGAGAACGCTGTCAACTAATGTATGTTTCCATTTTCTTATGCCTAAAAAAAAAAAAATTGATTTTCATTGTAAATTAGTCGCATGAAATAAATCTTCAGAGTACTTTCGTAACTAGGGGAAAAAAGCTAAGGAAAAATTAAAATGTCCGTCTGACGGATTATCTGCGCAACTATATGTTTATTGTAATATATATAGCGCAATTTTTAACTTATACTCAAAAAAATTCCACTCAAAGAAGGTTTCTGGATCATGTCTAGGTTTATTTAGAATGGGCATAGTACTGCAGGATGCTGATAAAATGTTGCTTTCTTCATTTGAAATTAGTATCTTTAAGCTATCTGTACATAATGCATAAGTTATCACACTAACACGTACTGAATATAGATTCTTGGAATTTTGCGTGAAAAAAGTGTCATTTGCGAGAAATATTACAATTTAACAATGATGTAGAGTAGGCAAACTATTAACATCGACGATAAAGGTGAATACCCGTGACGGTCCTATTTGGCGGAGATGAATGTGATGTATTATATTTGTTCCAGGCAAATGGAACCATCATTAAAAAAAAAAACTACGATTATCAATTGATGCAATCGAGACGAAAAACTGGGCCAATATGCCAAAGGTAAAAATATTGGAAGTTTCCTTTATGAAGAAACTCAGTCTCATATACAAAAATTTACTCAGGAAATATTTGCAATTACCCTCTCCACCGTTATCAGCATTCCAATTAATATAGTTTTCCTTAGATGACTTCTTGTTTGTACAAAAACATTTTTCCCATTCGGATGCCAATATCCGAATATAGACTGTTTTTTGGGTCTCCTTCAAACTCTAAGGTTTCTTCATAGAGAAATTTCATAAATTCGCTAGAAGATGAGCGCAAGCTCAAGCTGCAAATAGAGTATACTATCAGCAAATAACTCCTTAATTTTGCAAACAATCAAAGGTGTTTTGTTTTAACCAAAAGAGACAAACCCAATATAACATTTCAACACTGTGATTGTATAATAAATATGTTTCGATAAGTGGTTTTTAAGAAAATTAAGCGTCAATTATAGATTTACGAATTTATATATCATATCGTTGCATAACGAGAAGTTACTTAAATTTATATTAATAATTATAAATATCATGATATATGGAACATAAGGTACAATTATAGATATTAAAAAATTTAATCCACTATTATTATCCTTATTATTATTAATTTTTTTTTTCCAGGTAACCAATTACTTTACTTTACCTTTGCGTTCGCAAGCATCTTACGACCCGAATGTGAAAAATTTCCCATTAGGTATGCAAGATACTGTATTTGGCGAACAACAATGTCTAAACGGGCAGATTGGCGGTGTTCTTCTAGCCGAACCTACCACCAGTTTAAAAACAATTTTTGATGTCGGCATTAATTTTACCTCCATATTTTCGCAGGATAATGATATACTTGAACTGACTTCACGTTTTGTATTTTGTTATTCACCTGGTGCTTATTTGCAAAATACTTGTTTGGATTTAATACCGATCGGCAAGTATATGGGCTTGGTGCAAGCTCAGCATTGTCGTATTGTGAAAATCCAAGACACTATTAATAGCATTGGTGGCATACAAGCTATTTTACCCATTCTACATGATATTGTCAAAAATCAACGCGATGACATATATGTTTCTGGTGGTGACGAAGAAACTTCTGAAAGTGAAGAGATTACTAAAACGCCTTTAGCTGAGGAGTTTTCCGATTGGGAAATGCTTACCTCAAACTCTTACACTGAATGGAAAATGCTACAGTATCCCGTAGCGGGTTTCATGTGCTTCCTGCGTTATCTTGTGCATGAGCATGAAAATAATCAAGAAAATCTTTTAAATAGTGAATGCCTATCTATCGTAGGAATGATGCTACAAAAGTGTTCGATGAGAATATTTAAAGTCAACACTCTTATGGGCACCCATTTACTCATAGAATCCCTTCAGGGTCATAAAACAGTTGGTGGACGATCAAATTTGGCATTATTAGAAGATCTTTACACCAGCATCGCTTTTAACTTTGACATTTGGGTTCATATGAATTTCCAAATAACTTTGGGCCATGTTCAGTATTTAAGTGCCATGATTAAAAATGATCGTAAATATTTTCGAAAAAAATTTGGTATTCAATACTTTTTAGACGTTATACGTCAATATTATAGCGCACCGGAAAATATGACACCTGAGGATGCAATGACTATACGTTCTACTTTGTATGCAATTGTCAGATTTTATTTACAAAAAGATGTTAACATCAAGGAAATAGTAACGATAATTGCCTTTTTATCATCTGTCAAACAAGATCAAGTACTAATCGAGTTTCTTGACATGATGGCTATGCATGTAAAGGGGAAAAATTGCCGTGACCAATTAATCCTATTAATGCATGAACCGCAGACAGCCAATTTATTGTATAATTATTTCATTGACAAGAACTACAGTTGCCAATTGCAAGAGGCAGCTATAAGGGTAGGGGCGAAGAGCTAAACAGTAATTTTGCATATATATATATATATATATATATATATTTTTTTTTTTTTTGACTTTTCAGTTTATAAGCAGTTTATTAAGCACTTCGCGTGTTCATCCTAAGTACAAGCAAATAATGCGTTTACATGACCCTGCCGCAGATGTATCATTGTTCCCGGGTTTTTTCTCTTACACCATACCCATGACATTGAGCTATACTATCTTATTCCATATGTTAGACGAAATGCTTACGTCGGAAATTGACTATTGTGGTTTAATATTTCTTATACATCATGTTAGTTCTTGTGAATTACCGGTTAAGTTAGAGGTCGCAAAACGTCTACTACAGACTACGTTCACTAACGAAAATTCGCCTTATTCTATAGCGAAGCAAGCTGGTTGGCAGGAATCTATCGCTCGATTGCTAATACGAAAACCGATAGACAATATGAAACCCGATGAAGAGAAACGTAAAAGTTTTGGAATAAATTTGGATGTTTTGCTCGAGGATGAAAACGAATTTAACAATCAGGGAGATTTGATAAGTTTTTGTGAACAACATTTAGAAATGGAAAATCAAGATCATGGTGAAGGCGTTTTAAGTTTAAATGAAATACAAGCCAGTGTAACTGAAGCAGCCAATGTTATAGAGTCCGAGATAAAAGGTGAAAAAAAGATTTGTCGCATACAATTATTTTAATATTCAGTTGACGAAATGAAAAAACAAAAACCTTTATATCTATATATATATATAGAATTAGCTGAATCGGTATCGGGAGCAGTAGTGGAAAATGTCACTTCAGTGTTTTCGGTTATCCGACAAACTACTCACGACATTCAAGACACTTTCGAATCCTTTGCGATGGGCTCTTCTACTGATTCAACAGAAGCGGTAAATGATTTATTTTACAATTTTGTTCTAAAGAAAGTTTTCATTTGCGTTTTCGCTGAAGGTTTCCCCTAAACAACGTCAGGATTCGTTGAGCTCAGATAGTTCCTCACAGTCACCTCAAGGAGCCAGTAAAAAAAACGATTCCTTTGAGGTAAATTGAAATAAATATATTAGGTGGAGTCGTAAGTAACTTTCGTTTCTTTATCAGACATTTATTTCGCTTTCATTGAATAACAAAATTATATTAATTTAACAGTTGATTGTGAGGTATTCAAGCTTTATGCTGTACCTCTTGTTAATTGGGGTGGATTTTGCTCTAACATTGCCTTTAAAAGATTGTCGGCAAAGTCGGAAGGACGTTCCGTATCTTAAGGTCGTATCTCCAAACCAATTTCTAACTGCCCGATCAGTTATCAATGCTCCACCATACGTGCTGCATATTTTTCCAGCTGTCGCCTTAGCGCTATTGCCTTGTTTAAATTCCCAAAGTATTGCATGTCGAATATACACTTTTTGACTCTCCATTTCGAGAGGTTAAAAAAAAAACAATGGAATGTAACATGCACCACATAAAGCAGTTAACAGAAGGCTAACTAGTGAAAACCGAAACTCGTTTGTTTCGGTCACTTATAGGGGACAAATATGAACAATTGTTTCTATTTAGCTGCATCGGAAATTACTTATGACTCGACCTAATCGAATAGAATTAAGTTGCTATGACGAACCTGCTACACAACTATTTCTTAATATAATGAACATACATTGGTATTTTTAGACAAATTTGAAATTTTCTCAGGATGGTGAAGTGAATAGCGAAGAGCAATTGGTGTATTTAGTTTCCAATATATTGTTTACCATATTTTGGCGTGGTGTACCTAATGATCACATTGACTGCTGGAAAGAACGCGGTCAAGTACTAGGTTGCATTAATTTATTGGCCCTTAATAATGAGTTAATGACTTCTCATTTATCGCTGAGATTAAAAATATTGGAAATGGCTGTACAAGCTTCCCTATCTGATTTAGCTCAACATGGAAGTCAAGTTTTGATTAATCAAGAGGTACGTAGCTGTCTTTTTTTTTTTATTTTCATAGGCGGTTTTTTTTTTTCATTAGCTTCCTTTTCGTATAGAATGCCTCACATATTTTACGTATGGTTTATGATTTAGTCGTTTTGGGCTCAAATGAAGATGAATCGAAAAAATGTTCCACAAAATTATTGGATGGAGTTTTGGCTCTTTTGGACGCTTTAATGATATTTCAGCAAGATTCTTCGGACGATTGGTCAGATATGGTACGTCTCTGTCTAGGTTTATTACTTAAATGTTCACATCACCCTGATCCTGGTGTGGTCGCAATGGCAACCGCAAGACTTCATGCTAATTTAAAATGTCGCAACACTGAAAATCCCAGCGAGTTAGCCTATTTGTTATTCTCCATTAACAGAGCTTTGGATAATGCCATTGAAGGTACATTTAAAAGTATTTCATTATAAATTCCTTTTTTTTTTTTTTTTTTTTATTAAAATTAATCTTTTTTAAATGCTTCTTAGTTGGCGATCCTGAGGAATACTCATTCTTAATGCCGGTCATGAAAGCTTTAATAGAAAAATGCCGCAATGTTTTCAGTTTAGACATAAATCTACCGGACTTACCTTCTACCTCATCTGGGCCAGTATTTTTTAATGATTTTCAAATGTATAGCACCAGCAAGAAATGGCGAAATTTCATGGAAAAAATTGTAAGTAATTTTCAAAATATTTTCTATCGTTTGTCGAACATTATTATGTTATGATTAAGACAATAATTTGCAGATCGGAATAAATTACAAAATTATTTTAGAAATAAGCTTCAACAAGTTTAAAAAACGAATAGTATGTATTGTAAAAATTATGCTTATTGTTAAAATACTTTTCTTTTAAAATAATTTATGATTTTTAGGTAGCGTACGTTTTATATCCATATCATTACTGTAAGGACTTTTAAAAGGTGTAGTATCCAACATGCTCTTTGTGGTACGTTTAAACAGTTTCTCGGCGTCAATTAAACTGCCCTGCATCATAGTAGAAGCGTTACTGCCGCTTCTGTGTCTGTTCATTAGTTTTCTGTAAACGTTTGTATTTGTAAATTTCGGTGTGGACAGTATGCCATCGTAGTATGCTTTAGAATGTGATTTATCAATGGATATAATTTCAACTTTAGATTTAGACGAGCTTAGAGGACTTTCTGTTGTACGTCCACGGTAAAAAATATTACGTACTCTTGTGTTCGGTATTGAAACACTAACAGTAGTAGTAGTACTTGGCGCAGACGTGGCCTTCATTGAAGAAGTTCTTAATTTCATAGGATTCCAAACTCCTAAGTGCAGGTTTTCTACTCTAACGGAGGGATGAGCATAATTATCTGTGGGTGCGAGAATTATACGTTTTTCATTTTCAAAAGCGTTCTCCAATTCGGGTACATCAAGTATGTGCCTTGTAGTAGCTGTAAGGGTGGTTGTCGAGCTTTTGAAGTTGCCTCTTTTTTTTTTACGTATTCTACGAGGCCTGGAAGATGCGGATAAGCTAGTCATAGAGCTGGCCGAATGAGAATCATTATTAATATTCGATCCACCATTATAAGTTTGCGGCGGTTCTTCGGAAGTATTATTCGGTTCTGTTACTATTTTATTATTATTGGACGGTGCATGAGGCGGGTAAATCTCATGCTCTTGATCGTTAACAGCATCGAAAGGTACGGCGTCGTAAATTGGGACTTCGTAACTGGATTTTGGATAATCGTAAGGAGGATGTTTACGGTCTCGACTTATAGGCAACTCGTTCGACGGAGGTATATAATCATCTGCCGCTACATGAGTGGATTGTTGCGGTGGGGGTTCGTAGTGCGACGGTTGATGACTATGCGAGCTTTCTTGATGAGGATGCGGGTGTTCATAATTTTGGGATGGCGGTTGATGATCGTAACTTTCCGCAGATGAATGATCATGGTTTTGGGAGGGCGCTTGGTGAGAAGCTGAATGATCATAACTCTGAGAGGATGTTTCGTAGCCAGATGATTGTTCGTAATTTTGTGAAGGCGGACGGTGATCATAACTTTCCAAAGATGAATGAACGTCCGTTTGAGATTGTTCTTCATAAGAAGATGACTGATCATGGCTTTGGGTCGGTGCTTGGTAAGAAGATGAATGATCGTAATTCTGAGAGGATGTTTCGTAGCCAGACGGATGTTCATAGTCTTGCGAGGGCATATGATCAGCCGATGAAAGTTCATAACCCCCAGAGGGCTCTTGATATCCGGCTGAATGTTCAACATTGTGGGATGGGGCATGATGATCGTAACCATGTGTAAAGGTCTGATATGTATTAGGAAGCTCATAACTCAGTGATGGCGCCTTATATGGTGGCGAATAATCATATGTTTTCGGAGGTGCTTGATATGTTTTCGATGATTCGTCGTAACTACTGTAGTCGGTTTGGTAGTGCGAAGGTGATGTGAATTTAATTTCATTTGGTTGTGAATAGGTTATTTGAACATTCGCCTTAGGTCTTTCGGGATTTTGTGCGGTATGATCAAAATAAGAATTGATATTATATGTTGATGGTGGGAAGTAAACATCAGGGACCCCATATTTGGTAGCTGGTATACGAGCAGATTCAGTATTATGTGCACTATACGTTAAGGATGGTTTCTCGGTGTAAGACGGTGACGCACTTATGTAAATGGGTTCTGCATAAGTTATAATTTTTTTGGGATGCTTGCTATCATAATCGTGGCAACCGCGTTCAGTAGGTGTGTTATAGTTCACTTGATACGTGTCATCCGTGGAAGGTTGTTTTGATGGCGGGTAGTGATGCGGAGATGTTTTTGTTGGATGTGAAGAAGAGGTGTCTTCTGGAATTTCATAATTATTTGAGGGTGATTTGTAAACTTGCTTATTAGATTCATGTGAACCACCATATGAATACGAGGGTAGTTTCTGTATTCCTTCATATTTAACTTTCGGTTTTTCGTATTCATTGTAAAATTTAACGTTCGTAACGTGGGTATCATAACTTGATGGCGGCAAACCGAAATCATCTGATTCCAAATTTAAATGAGAGAAATCTTCAAAATATGTTGAGCTATGATCATTGTAATGGTTGCCCGGCGGCTCTGCAAAACTGTATTTAATTTTCGGCCTTTTAGGTCGTTTGTATTTATGCCTTATTGGTTCTATTATATGCTTAATAGATTTTAGCGATGCCGGATGATGAACATATATAAGCTTTTCAGCTATCGGCAAAGAAAAAGTAACATTCGTTAGATCCAACCCATCCGCTTTGTTTGACTCTTCTGTTGTTGTTGTTGTTGTTGTTGTTGTTGTCGATGCTGATATTTCTGTTGCTAAAATTTTACTTGATTGTAAAATGAAAATCAACTGGAAAAAGGAAAACAAGAACTGTATATTAAATATTGTTGATTTAAATCAAAGTTGCGCTATAATTGAGCGAAAATATCACCACACACATTCACGCAATTAAAATAAACTCTAAATGAATCAAAGTCCTTAGAATGAAATTTTGACAAAAAAGTGTTGAATTTTATAATTTTGGTTGGTTCTATTAAATGTTCGATACCGATGCCTATTGTAGATCATAGATTACTAATGAAAATGTAGAAAAGTTTTAGTTCATTTTAATATATTCAATTTTTTGGTTTTTTTTTTTTTTTGTTGCAAGTTTCATTTCAATTCGTCGTTTATTTTTTATTTAATTTGGATAGGTCTTCGAGTGTATTGCGCCCATTTTTAAACCAAATTTATCCGAGAATGCATTTGCCAACTTTTAAACTTTCATTCTCTGACCCTTGTTATTGAAAATTCCATTGACTGACGAGAGATGCGCACATTGAGGGAAATATAATGTTCACAAGACGTCTATGTTGGGGTCAATTCCTCGTGTTACAAACTAAAATACAACCTCTTTCTTATTCTGCCCTCTGGCGCCGGCAATAAAAATTGAATTCCATTACAGCAGTTGTATTACACAAAAACTAAGCGATAAAAAAATTTTTATTACACACTTCCTAAAAATTCTGCTTTTTTTTTTTTTTAAATTATCGTTTCCTTCCTCATTAGTGCTTTGTAACACACGAGGTAAATATGCATGTACATGCCTAATTCCACATTAGAAATTCATCGAATGTACGTTTTATTTGCTTGCATGCAGCCGGTTGCTTTTGAATGTGTTCGACTTGTGTGTGATTACTTAGTTATTATATATGATCGCAATTTTTTTGATAGCATCTTGCACGAAATCCAATTATAGTCGTAGCCACAAATTTCGATGTCCTCTTGTCGATTGGGCTATAAATTTTTTTTCGAAACAATAATTAACGCAGTTTGCACTTGAAGACTCCTTGCAGTTTGCACTAGAAGACTCCAAGATTTTTACATATATTCGTTAATTTGAATCCTTGCAAAGTTCTTCCACAATGTGCAATGCGTGTGAGAACCATTTGGTAGATTTTATTGCTTTTTTATATTAACTTACGCTAATAATTGCACTATAGGTGATCATTTTGTAATTTTCGTATTTTTTCATTTATAAAATTTTCACTTTTTTACAAGCACACATAATTATTAAATATATATATGTATATATATAATTTAATTGGAGTTTCCTTGAACAAACAACGCATTGGACTTTCTTTTGAAGACTAAACTCTCCTGCAAGAAAAATATAGTGTTTTATGAAAATTTGTTTTTATTTTTATTTTTTTCATAAAAAGAAAAACTTGTATAACGTATGTACAACCAGACCACATTTAGACAGAAAGAAAAAAAAAAATTAAATAAAATGAAATGGTTAGATGGAAGCACCTTCATGCACAGAAGCAACTATGGAAAATCGTATTTACGGGCGTACATGCACGTTTCCATTACTGCAATTAAACAGTGACTGAGTTTATCAAAACTTGTGCGTAAAAACTTATTATGAAACAAAAGGAAATCATCTACGCCTCATACCTCATACATTTAAATACCCTCATCATCATCTGGATTCCAAAAATTTAAAGAATTTCTTTTCTGAACATTTTCATTTCATTTTCATAACATCGCATATATTGTCGGATTCTAGATTGTTGTACTCGACCCCTCTGACCCGATCTACTGCTAATCTAATGGCGGAATTCTTATCAAAGTCGCGAAAAATTACAAGTTTGATAATATTGCATAGATGACCAGATGACCAGATGATTATTCGGTATTACCGACTATTAAAATATTCTCGAATTCATTTGCAATTCAACATTTGTCTATAAATATTTGTTTATAAAAAACAAAGAAAAAAGAAAGTTGCAGACTGGCTCTCGATAAAACTCTCTAGTCTAGCTAGTGCGCATCTAACCTGCGCCTATTCCTACTATATACTTTTGTTCAGTTATATTGATCACATGCGAAAGTGGACAGCATCCGCGTCGAGCTAAATGCATAAATGTTCAATTTAATCTACAATGGCAAAATAATAAACATAAACGTGTCGTTCATTTAATCATACCGTTTCTACGCCTACTATTTAGATGGTCTTATTAAATGTCTATATACAAGTTTGAATTAATGTTCGCTACAAATTGTAGGTTAGAGTGTTTTCTTTTAATTTTAAGAGCAAAGTATGGGCGCTTTCAACGTTGATTTATTCTCTACACTCTAGTACCGCTTTGTGATCGGGATCATTTCGATGATGACGAGACAAACAGACAAAACATGCAAAACGAACATAGTTGAATTAACTTGAGATGTTTCTGTAATGAAGAGTGGAGTTGTCTCATTGCTTTCTATTGGTCAGTCCAAGGGTGAAAGGAAAAATGTAATGTCCTTCTAGATTTAAATTTATGTCAAGATCAAAACGGCTTTGAATGAACACTTGTCATTGATATTAATTTTATTCGATCAAAATCAAGAAAATTTCCATAGAAACGATTTATGTCTCGAATGTTTTGCAATAACTTATTTTGAAATGGAGTGCAGCTACGAAAGATTTAAATGGACAAAATGGAGGCCTTTACAAATTTCCAAAGAGATAGATAGGATTTCAACCAAATTTTTGTAACTGAAAGTGAACTTCAAGAAAATCTTTATAAAATGAAAACCGAATTATCGTCAAAGCGACTTCATTTATTCTATTGCCATAGCGCAAGTCAGCACACACAACTGCAATTACAGTATGACAGAACATTTGGAAATGCCACTACTTGACAAAAGATGACGACATTGCCAGCAGCAGAAATGTATATTTAGTAGAATGTTAACTTATGACCCCGACACATTCATCGAATCCTCAGACAGAAAGTTTTAATTTACATTTTCAGTTACATTCGTACGACTTACTTGACGTGATAGTACAAAAGACTGGGCCGCGCAAACTAAAAATTGTATCCTGACAGTATTTCGATGAAGTTAACGAATAAGGACACTTTAATTAACCCTATCACAAAGGGTACATTAGGACCATTTAGTAAATTGTTATCTTCCAGTTAGTCGTTGCATTTTTGCATTTTTTGGGTTTTTTGCAGAAAATAGAAGGATTCAAAAATTTCAAAGTTCCTCAGAGGGTAAAAGTTAAAAGGATATATACCCTTATCCCGCAATATTCATTTATGTATTTCTTTTCTATCCATTTAAGCCCACTGTGCTGCATAATCATGTTAGTATTTGTTTCAATTTAAAATCTATTATGTCGTTTTTCGCTTTTTTTTTTCTTTTGCGTTTATTTGTAAGGTTCAATCCACTCAGTGTTATTTTATTTTATTTACTGTTGAAAAATTTTGAAAAAATAATAACAACAATGCAATAAAATAACATGAAGTTGTCACTTGAATTGCTGAAGCATAACACATAACATAGAAAAACATCTTTAGCTATATATATAAGTTAGCTTCGTCTCATTGAAGTTTAGTGAAGAAAAACAAAAATGATATAAAATTATGTGAAAACCTCTTAGATAAGAATTTATTAAATAATAATAAGTAAGCAATTGCACACTCTAAAGTAAAAGACATACTCTAAAGATCAATTGAACCAACAATTGTTTTTTTTTTTTAACTTTTAATTTTTATGTAATAGCAAAAAAAGTTCACTTTCAACTTCAACCCACTCTAGCAACAAGATTTTTGTATTTTCTATAAAAATAAAAAAATTAAAAAAAAAAAAACAGGCTTTTTATAACGTTTAACTCAGACGTTTGCATTTCCCGATCGTTATTGAACTTGAACTTATTGTTGTTGTTGTTGTTGTTGTATGGTTTCTGTTGCTGTTGTTTTTATTGTTGATGTTATCGTTGTTTTGCTGGTATTGCTGTCTGCGTGCATGCTGTAAGTGTGCACATGTAATAATTCACTCTCCACACAGATTCAAATGAAACTGAAGGTGATGCATACACATCTTAGCAGATAGCGTATAAAATCTTGATTTGCCGGTTTATTGTTTTTCTCTACACCATATTCAATCAACCGCAGGTATACATGTGCATTTAAATATATGCACTTGATTTTATTTCATTTGTTTATTTATTTATAAAAAATGTATACAAATGTATATATATATTTTTTGTTTTTTTCATTTTCATTTTTCTTTTTTATTATTATTATTTATTTATTTTTTTTTTTATTAAAAAATTTTCAATTTTCCAGCTTTTATGCATGTTTAAGCCAACAATATGGCCATGCATTGAATTTGTTATGTGCAGACAATTGTGCATAATCCTCTTAATGTATTAATTTTACAAAATTCAATTATCATAATTTATTATTTACTGCTAATTTAATACGATAATTATGGTTTTTAAAACACTTTAAAATCTGTGTTAAATATCCTTAGCCCTTGGATATAACGGCTTAAGCGAAATACTCATATAACGCAAATGGTTAAAACAGGTTGAAACGAATTAACCCATGATGTTATAGTAGAACCGACCGCTACATACTCTGCACTGCTTCATCTCAGGCAATCCTTGGTCCTTAAGATAATAAAAATTATATTTCGTTGCTATATAAGGCTTTGCTTTTCATCAAAACCCTTATGTGACAAAGTAGACCAATATGATGCAAATTTCGCGCAATAAATTTATATATCGAATGCAATGAATTAATTTTTACTTCATAAAGTATTAAATATCGAGGCTTTTTGCTATAAAAAGGATTATATTTTGTGCAAAACGTTTATAGAGGATGGGAGTTCAAAAAATGTTGCAATTAAATCCAAATTCAATATTTTCACATTTAATTACAATTTTTTTTATAGCGATTTTTGACGCGAATTATTAGAAATGACAAAGCCATTCTTATCTAAGTTAGAAGCTTTTTTAAATATCGCAAATATCGACACGAACTGAATAGATTTTTATTACTAGTGGTTTAGGACATAAAACCGATAGAATTGTCTATATATAAATATGTAGTATGCTAATCTATGAAGTGGAAATCGCTGAATAAAAATTGTGTAACAGCGTTATTTTTATCACCGTATCGTCATAATAAACATTTCATAAAACCATTATACCTGTCTTAAAGTAATTATTATTAATGATAATAATAATAAATTAATTATTACTAAGTATGCTATAAATGTGTATTTAAGATAAAATATAAACATATCATAACTTTCTCGCCAAGTAAAATGAAGTCTGAATGTGAAAAAACAGATTATATTTATTTTAAATATTTATTTATTTTTTTTTTTCAATCATTTTGTCGTACATAGGTACAGCCCTTATATGATGTGTATCAACGTGAGGTGGAATTAAATCTTTGGGAACCCATTAATCGTTATTGGGCTGAATGTTATGAAGCTTGTAAAGTTGCTTCAAAAAAACGCGGTACTCTGCAAGCGGACAATCGAGCTCTATTTCAGGTAAAAAGCCAATTAAAAGACTCAAATATCAAATTAAACAAAAAATATTGCATCTACAACTGATGGGATATATACATATATAATAAACACTGCCACATTTTTATAAAAGACTATTACTCTTCTCCAATTAGCAACGGGTTTTAGAACGATATCCATTCTAAATCTTGATGAATATGTTCTTAACGTCGAGATGAAATGGTCGTTGAAATTAAACAGAAAGTATTCCTGATAAGTACTTTCTAATTATAGAAAATAAATAATAAAATCGGGAATCGGTTTACGGTTCTCATTATCAAGTAACTTTTAGCGAGTAATGCGATGGTGCTACTCTAGAGTGTATATATTTCGCTCGTTAGCGAACGTAAAATGTTAGAGTTGCACCATTAACTCAACCATCAATCCCCTTATCGTTTTTGTGTTTTGTCACATCTACTGGCTCGATAATATGAGTCTTAATAGAGTTCCTAGTTTATTATCATTTTCAGAGAGAAAATATGTAAATTTCTATTTAGATATTAAAATAGATTCCCAACTTCAAAATATACGCGATTGAGTAGATCATCATAAATCGATAATATTTCGAAATTGATCGCTTCATCGCGCCTAAGATTACGTCTTGATTTCTATGTCAATTTTTAAAATTTTTCCCATGATTAAAATCGACCGTTTATTCACGGGTGAAGCGCATCTGTCAACCATGTTTCCAAATTATTAAAACTTTTATTTGACCTTTTAAAATAACAGGGCTTAGCAGCTCGTTACGACAAGCGAACCGTTATACATTTTGTATAAAATTATCAATCGGCGCCTTAAACAACCTCATTGATGGCCTTGTGCTAATAGGGCCTGCAAATGTAAAGAAGGAAAAACATATTGCGAGTATATGCGAACGTGTTCGTGATGACACGAATTTATCAATTAGATGCCACTTTCACAGCTAAATCATCTATTTATGCATCTACGTTGTCGTGGATTTGGTCCGAAAACGTCCAAATATACGCGTATTCAATATCGCATTGAATGCCCAACGAAAAGCTCGAATCCATACGTGATCCGGAAACTATATCGGGGAGCACGTGGAAGTGATCATAACTCGTTGCTTCATTTTCAGTCTTTTTCTACTTTTATTCCCGATATCTACTCACTAATGGTGTAGGATCCATTATGTTTGAATGAATATAAATAGCATCCAGAAAGATTTAAGATAAGCCTACTTTCTTAGTATGCCGATCGATTCAGAATCATTTTTTGAATCCTGAATTTAACCCCACTTGACCGGCTGTCGGTTCGTTCGCTTACTGCGTATCGTGTTCACAATTCGCAATTTTTCAAATCTTTCGACGATCACTTTCGATCTAAGGGCGAATTCCATTGCAAGTGGATTTGATCGGGCTATGTTAACGATTCCATAATTCCGCACAATGACTTATTTTGGAAAAGCGATTATAGGGAACAAGTTTGCAATTTTCAAAATTTATCAACAAAAATCACCGAGTATGTTATATCAGCGCACTACACTGGCGTGAAAAATTTGGATTGAGTTTTTTAGTTTCTCGAACGTGTCGCCGTATAACGATTTTTGACAGTAAGCCTTTATTTGGTTGAAAAGTGCAATTTTTCAAAATTTTCTTGACGAAAATAGATCCAAAATTAACTGTGTGAGCTCTGCGCCGCATAGATCTATTGTTTACACTCTTCCTCTGTGCAAGGGTTCTCATAAAAAACTAAATTTTTATATGGCAATTAAAGTCTCTACTTTGTCGTACCTTATGACGAAAAGGGAGAATAATAAGATTTTTTACAAGATAATTAATTTTACTGCAATTAAGCCACGCTACACTCATACAAGGATAATGAGTACGTATTGACATGGAACTGCGATACTGCGGTATTTTATCGCAAAAAGAAATGAAAAATATTATTAGGTAAAGTAATCTAGGGTATTCTATAGTCGGTCCGGCCTAATTATAATGTTTTTATCGGTTTTTAGTCATTTGATGTTTTTTATTTTTTATTTTTATTTATTTATATTTTAACAGAAAAAAATTATTATACCCTGGAAGGTGCACCAGCTTGAAGAAACTAAACGGTTGAGTGCGGCTGCATTACATCATAAAAGAAAATGCAGTCACATTAAGAAGAAATGGAAATGCGCGAAACGTTTCTTGTACGGGCCGCGCGGTCCGTGGTTTACGGGGTAAGTGCAAAAATTTATTAAATATTCATATAATTCAAACAAAAACAACTTAATGTCACTTATAGTGACATTATGCAGAAAATATACTTAGCTCAAGTAGATTAGGAAAAAATCAATTTAAATATTAAATTAAAAACATTTTACTATTTCTATATATTAGTAAGAATATTCGATTTACGTACTACGTCTGTTGCATAATTCAAGTTATTTATTTATTTATTTATTTATTATTATTATTATTATTATTATATTTTTTTTTCTCAATTATTTTCCTTTTTTGCAATCTTTTATAAAACGTATCAAAATAATATCAATTAAGGTAACGCACCTTGATTTTGTTTTTGTTTTCGATTAAAGATAAATAAATAAATTGAAAAAAAAAAAAAAAAAAAAAAAAAAATATGTAAAATAGAAGTTTCTGTACATATTTTATATATCAAATGTGCAAAGTGCGTAAGTGTCATATCAGAGACACCATACAAAATCCGGGCTTGGTTATGGTTTATATATTGAAGGTTATTTATAGTACGTTTGAAAGTGTATTGTTGTGGAAATTTCATGTGTGTACTCGCGCATAATGATCACATGATTTCCTTGAAACTTTTTCGGTTAATTAACTTATTTCGATCTTTTGACAACATTACATTACGATTATATTACAATTGTATTCGTTACTATACTATAGAGAAGAAAACACAAAATGATTAGTGTGTGTGTGTACATTGGGTTTGTAACATTCGGCATAACATCTCGACCGCCATCGTAGTCTTGAGCAGTATAAAATTTTGCATCGTCCTAGTACTGCACATGCATGCGTCCTCCGTTCATTGAAATTTTTTAAGCCATGAACTCTGACACAAACCTGACACATATATATATATATATATATATATATATATATACTCTTTTTATGCTCGCGAATGAAACTGTTTGAACCGTTAATTGCAGAAAGAGAGAAATAAAAAAAGACTGATGAAGAGAAAAACATCTAAACCTTTCTCTAAACGATGTGCCCTGGTCGGTGTAAAGTATATACTCATATAACTGGTATATCAGGTGTCGTAGGTTCGTCTTCAACCGATAAAAACAATTTTTACTCGACTTTCAAATACATATTTAAATAATTATTATTCACTAATAACTCTAATGTGGTAATAAATCCAACAGATTAGTTTCAACTTGTCGCCTTATTAGCGGCTTAGTGTTCAATTCGATTTTGGACATGCCGTTGAGCGTTGTGCGTTGTGGAATAAAGTCACAACACGCTTGTAGCTCGTAGTAAATAACAGATCAAGTTTGCACTTCGTATGTAAAGGCGTTAAAATTTCATAGATAATAGCATAAGCATAAGGAAAATACAAAAATGCTTTTTCAAAGTATTCCCCATTGAAATCGCTTTTAGTCACTGAAACTCGCTTTCAGTCTTTCAATTTATCCCCGCCTTTGTGGCCCTGTGTAAAACTACATTTCAACACTGGCTATTACGAATTTCTTCGACCGTTACAAAAAAAAAAGAAAGCACTAAAGTTACTGAAGAATAAGTTGTAAGCCTATGAGACTCATCATTAGTTAGTTAGTTAGTTAGTTAGCTTGCTTTGAATGACTGAACGATTCTTAATGAAAAGTGGATGACTGGCGATTAGCTTAATCGCTATGATTGTTTGAAAAGTCTTTCTTTCCTAAGTTTTTCACAATCGTTTTCGAAGGTGCCTAGCATAGGTGCATAGAATGCTACATAATCAGTAGTTTCCGGCCATACGTTCAAAGAGCGGGAAATGTCCTTATTGACAAAGGACGACTGCAATTTGTCATGTATCAATTGGATTTTTTTTATAAAACATTCAGTTGTTCGTTGAGCGCAGTATCATTACAATGCCCGCCATTTAGCACTAGTAGGCATAAATTTGTCGCAGTCAGCAATGAAAAAAAAAGGAAAAACTAAGATTCTCAAAATCTAAGATATTCTCAAAAACTATAAGAGAAACAGGAACAAACATGTCGGGAACGATAGCAAGTGAGAGATCTCTTGCATAAAAGGTTCCAGTTACGCTTTTATATCCATCATCGAAGGATGAGGGCTTTGATTGATCATTGATCTTTGGTTTTTGTCAGAAAGTTTGAAACAACCAGGTAGCAGCTTCAGTGACTCCATAAAGCGTATATATTCTTGAGCAACATCAATCTCTGAATTGATTTAAGCATGTCCGTCCGTTCGTCTGTCTCTCTGTGTAATACCTGTTGTAAGTATCCTTTTTATTCAGAAAAATATAATATATGTACTGGTGCAAGAAAAGCGTTATGCCGGAATGAGAAGGACATTCGAAAACCTTGCACCTTTAAGCTGGTTTCTGCGCGTTATAAAGATATTGAAAAAAAAAAAATTAAATCTTCATCTACATCGGATGCGCGTGGTCAATTTTTTGTCGATTTTTGTACAGCCACTACAGTATCACCCACAGCATATATGTTCGAATTTTTGTGGATTTATCTCCTATAGCGTAAATAAGTAAATAAGTAAATAATCAATTTTTGTTCCTTTTGAAAAACATAGGTATTTGCAGTCTACATAGTGCTTTAGGTGTGTCTGTCAACCGATATGACCCGTTTTGAACGCCAACCTGCAAGCAAGAACTTTCAATGTTTCTACCAAAGGGGAATGCGTAAATCGGTTCAGAATCTGATGGTGGTCAAGAAATATATGCTTTGTGGTGTGTCTCTGAATCTTCCTTTGGGTGTTGCAAACGGATTGATAAAATGAATAAACTCCCCGCCCTTCAATGATGGGCATAAAATTTAAAAAGGCTTTTTTAATAAGTGTGATATTCGGACTTTCAGATATGAAAGTTAAAGTTGTAAAGTACTGTAAAGGAAGCGTTTTCCTTCCTTACTGATAATAAATCCGTCTGCACAAATGTCTACCATTAGACCCTAAAACCTTTCAGTCTGTTTTGTTCTTCCGCACTAAAGACTAAATATCCCTTTGGTTGACCATTGCCTTACACACCTTCTCTTGGATACGAGTATCTTCCTCTGCGCTACCGTGAGATCATCCTTTCCCGCACAAACCTTTGGTAATTTAGGTTCATCTAAAATAGAAAATATATATAAAGAAGAAAGAAAACAAGAAGAAGAAAAACTCATTGTATCAGGACTATGCAACATACGTTGTATGGATAGTCCGCTCATTATATGCTATGTCTCCGAAACAGAAAAATATGCCTATCAATAATATATGTATAAGTAACACACATATAAGTAATATACATAAGTATTACCATGCCTGATCTTTTCCTAGGGAAACAAGTCATAAATTCTCTCGATGAACAAGTTGCAATCCGTTGCGCAACATGCCTATATACCTGCATACGTTTTTTACTTTTACTTATCAACAAGCTACATTTAGCATTGAACTATTCACATTATGCAAAGGCACATACCTAACGGTCTTGTGATTTTGCAAAGTCATGTACCTAATGGTCTCTATTTACGGGCGTTGTCATGCTTGTATATTGACAGCTAGCACATTGAATCGTTAGCGGCTTCTATACATGTTCGATCATACTATTTGATACCTAAGTTAGCATTCATAATAAGATATACGTAAGAATATCATTACAACACATATACAAGTGAGTGTTGAGATTGTAACACAGGTATAGTCAAAACATCTATATAACGGGACAGCGATAGTGATCGCGACTATAAAAGAGCGTGTCGCAATACGCTCATCCTTTCAGTCGCGTTACAGCAGCCAGAGGTGAGTAATCACAGGCAACATATTTATTTGACGTTACCAACAATGTTATTTTTTGGCTTTACGGATAGGGGATGGCAGGCTCAGCTTAGTCATCATCCCTGAATAACCGACAGGGCTACTAAACTTTACGGATAGGGGTTGGCAAGCTCAGCTTAGCCGCCATCCCTGAATGACTGAGGGACACTCTCTTCAGCGACGTAAAACGATTAGGGACAATAAAAACAAATAGAATATAGGCAGGGACGGATGAGTGGCCCTATAGGCCCGCAGTTGGCTGCTATAACACCTGCGGCGTATTTTTTCTGCAGAATTTCGCTGAACGGACAAAACGTGGAAAATAATCTCTCAGGACTTTAAAATCGACGATAATATATAATGAATATCGAAAATACCTATACCTAAAAATTCGCCCAATACAGAGATAGTTTTAACGATGCAGTTCAAGTTCTTGTACGGCAAGCTCGAAAATCAAGGTTTCGAGAACATCATTAAAGATATTTTTATTTTACATCTCTTCCGTGACGTCTGCATGCCACACCATTTGGTGTTTGGCTTTGTTAATCCCCAATTGCTGTTTGTACTTATCAAGTTATCCAGCGCAATCGATCTACGCGTGCGGGGACCCCTGGTATAGAGTAAGAAAATTGACATTTTTGAATAATTTAAAATTTTCTACCCATGCTTCGATGCAAATGATATACGACACATTTACGAGGTAATAATTCGGCTGTTGGACTTTCGATAGCCATGCACGTTTGATAGAAGATTAACGTAGTAATAGAGCCACGTTTCCTTTGGAAACCACTTGACAAACCACGCCTCTCTGTTAAAGTAATCTTTAGAATCTCCGAACTTGCTGTCTATTTTTTTTTTCTTCCTTCTGAAATGAAAAATTACGCCAATTGATTCGAAAAGTTTGCGCAATATAAGTGTTGATCTTAAAATTTATTCTTCAAAGTCGTTTTGGTCTTTTTGTCACTTTGGTCTGCGGAAATAACTTTTCGGATATATTCAGTATATATATTAGATGTATGTTTTTTTATTTTAGCAACGTCATCTTGCAGCAGTAGCAGTAGCAGTAAATGAACAGCATCAATTATCATCAATACTGTCTATACGTGTGCGAAATAGGACGCTTGCGTTTACATACCATGTTACTATCAAATTTCTTCTGTATTTTTGATGAAACATATTCACTTTGATTTGAGAAATATATTTGATGTGGCTGATAGGCTATAGGTAGAGAACTTGACCGTTTACCTTTAAATTTTATTATTATTATTATCATGAAATAAATCCTTAGACTAAGAAGAAAACATTGAAGCCGATAGGCTGACTGAACTGTAAAGAAGAAAATTAGATATCAAGCCCTACTAGTTTTAATATCGCGTTCTGTAGCTGATTTTAGAATGTCGATCTTATCCAATAACTTTGCAAGACAAAATAGGAGAAAGATTGGACCATAGTTCGATGCGATGGATACATTTTTAGACTTTGGAATTGGAAAAATCCCATATAATAAAGGTTCACTAATATCTTTTTGCTTGAATTAGACTAAGTAGTGATTATTTAGTAAGAAATGCAATCTAGACCGGATGTCCTCACCGTTGATTTGGAGAAACAACTTTCAAGTTCTAAGGTAGATAGATGTATAATTTTCCAGGAATATGGCACATCTATCAATAGCATTCGGAAGAGAAATTGAAGTTTATTTTCGACAAAGACATTAGAGAGGTTGCTCTTAAAGGAGTATTCGTAGCACATTTTTTGAAAATAATTACAGGTCTCATCTCTGCAGATGGCAGAAATTTTCATTCAAATTTGAAGTTTCACTGAGTTTCTTGCTTTTGTTCCAGACAATCTTCATTTATGTGTTTCTGTGATTTCGTTTCGAAAAAACTTCCAAACGCCTTTGACTTTCATAATTCCTTTCTGAACAGAGCATTGACCTTTTTATATAATAACAAATGATCATGATTAGGACATCGGTTAAAGCGGTGCCATGAACACAATTCGTCTTTCAGTTAAAGCTGTTAAAAAAAGCTGTTGAGGAATAGAGAGATGAGCAGCTGTGCGAATGGCCGTACACATAATAGCAGCATCATGGCTGCATCCCCGCTAAATGTCTTTGAATTCAAAAATGGCTCGGCCTATTTGGAGTAATTAATCCAATCCGCTTCACACAAGAGGAGCTTAACTTGTTTTACCGGAGTAACAAAGGAGTTTGAAGGATTAAGAACGTGTATTATTGGAGAGCGATCACTACTATGTATATCATCAGAAATAGACCAGAAAACAAAAGGAAAAAGTGGCGGAGAACAGCAAGTTAAATAAATAAGCGAAAAGGTGCGACGAGCTGAGAAACGTGTTGATCTTCCATGATTTAACTTGCAATTGCTTAAAGGCAATTGCTTTGAATGAAGTACCATGACTATTGCACCCTGGCAAACCCCAGATAGGGTTTAAGGCTGTTAAAGTCGTCACATATAATTAAAGGGGGAGCAAATGCGGAAAATAGGAATTATAAAGCTCCTGCTGAGAAAACGACTGCGAAGGTGGGATATAGAGCGAAAGCACTGCACATTTTTTGATTAAATTAATTTATATCGCAATGGTCTGAATGTTTGAGTTTAAATTAATGCGTTTTTGAGCGATATTGAACTTTCTAAAAATACCAACCCCTTGGGTTGAATATTTGAATTTTGATCAGCATTCACGAAGTATTCAGTATATGAGTTGGGTGGGATAGGATTACAAGAATTTCTGCGATGGGTCTCTTGAAGGGACGTAAAGGTTGGGTTGAAAGCACTCATAGTACATTGTGCGGGTTTAGTTTATTAGGCTTAAGGATAAATGTTGTTGTTTTGACTTTTTGAATATTTGTTGTTCCTTTATTTTTTTTTAACATTATTTGTTCCGGATGATAGGTCAGATTTGTCATTAGCAGGAGTTGGTGTTGATGGCCCGCTGGGAGCGAGGCGATAATATGACATAGGTATTACTCTTGTTAGTTCCTTGTATTGTTGGATTTATTTCCCGGTGCTTTCGTCGCGCTTCGCCAATACTGCAGTACGTGCATACGTTTTGCTTTTTAGAATCTCACGCAATTATACATAACTTAAAGATTGTTTACCTAACGCCGAGTTTAGTTTAGTGAACTTATAAACTTCAGTTACATTTTGAGTACGCATTTGACGAACTATTTCCTCTTCTGGTGGATGTTTTAAACACGCCTTTCACTGAGTTGAGTTTGGCGCGCAATTTAGCGGAAATTGGGCACAAATTAGCAAGTGATTTGAACTTCAAGACTTTCGCTGTCGCACGTGCATTACCAACGAGAACAAGTAGATTACCATCGCGAGCGATAAAAACAGAGTCAATATGTGTTGTTATGACGTTTACGGCGAAAGGGCTAATCTGTGATATTGTTATGCTAGCGTCAGTTGAAGAAATTGCAACATATTTTTTATCAATCGTAGTGGTCTCACCGGATGACAGTAACGGAAAGTCCGAATTTTTTATTTTTCTCCTTTGTGGTGATTTATCCGCCAATAAGTGACATCTATTGGCAGTTTTTATCTGACGGTCACTTTATTAGGTAGTTACCTATGAAACATTAAATGCTCCCACTTGAAAAAAGGTTTGAGAATTATTAAATAATATAAAATGTCAATTGTCAACTTTTTTTCAATATTTTTTCCCTTTTTTTAATATAAACTAACAAACGCACAGCCGCGGTAGCCGCGATACTTACCTTAGCAAAACGACTAAAAAGACAATATTGTCAGTGAGACACAAGACAAATGCACGAAAAGAAAATACAAAGTAAACAAAAAAGTAAACATGTATTATCCAGAACACAAGTCAGAATCGATGGTTTAAGTTGATTTTTGAAGTTTTTATTACGATCGTGATATTTTATTTGCAAAATGCAATGAAGAAGCATATGCATCGTATTAAATTTCTTAAGTAAGATTGGCGGATATTTACGGATTGACAACTATCTAGAACTGTGCTCACTTGCCCTATAACTTTCATAGTCTGCGCTACATATTTCCGGGTCTTATGGAATAAAGAAAAATTTTTAAAAACTATGTTCGGTCGTCGAGAAAAACTTGATCCAACAATCAAGATGAAGTCATTTAATCGTTTATACTTTGCCTTCATCGTACTTACTACGTTTAGGTCATTAATATGACATAGATATTTATGCTAACCTAGGAATAGAATACGAAGACACTATTTATGTACTTTCATTTATAACAATCAGTGGCATCCACCAGAGATCCTAAAATCACACTATCCAAAGATTGACCTTAAATATGGTCATACTATGGCAGTAATCAAAAAAAAAAAAAAAATTCTTTTATGAAAACTTGGAGAAATAAATTAAAATTTCAATATGTAATTTTATTAATATTAAATTACAATCTAGACAGCTAGATATTAAGCTTGAAGCGACAGTTTATCAAAAACATTAAAAAATCGAAAATATTTGATTGCTATGATTATTGTCAATGAACCAATTGATTGTTTTACGATTGCACGTAAAAGTCCTTACCTCATTGTTTATGTAAATAAGTTGAAATTAAAAATTAAAGAAATTAATTATTATTCGATATCATTTCTTAAGTCTCGTTTATATTGCCACATAATTGAGAAAATTGAGAGTTGTTATGTTTTTAAAAACTTCATCTAAAATACTCTCTACGCAGAATTTTTCATTAAGATTTTCAGAAAAAAAAAAAAAAAAAAACAAAATTAAAAAAATGATGCCAAAAATTTTTGACGCACATTAGGTGCTGATTATAGAAAATAAAAATAAATCAATCGTAGAAGGAAAAAACAAAAAAGAGATGAACAAACGAAACGAAAAGTTATTCATTTAAAATTACACATATATACACATATATTTAATAAAATAATCATTTTTCTCATGACTTGAATGAAATCTAGAACTAGGAGTTGATTGAGGTTTACATACATTTTAAATAAACAGTTATTGCGGCTAGTTATGCATTTACATAAATAACAAAATAAAGTAACAAAGGCAGTTTAAACGTATTCCATAGCGAACTGATTATCGGTCGTCAACATGTTAATGATCACAAGTTTTATAAAAACATTTAATGATGATAAGCATAAGCGGGAAAAGCGGGTACTTTTGCGACAGCTGGGTAGGCCGAAAATACGGGCTTGGCAAGAACAGGGCCGGGCGCTACTACTTTGGCCACAGGTGCAGCAACTTTAACGGCTAACGGTTCTCTTTGTACAACGGCATTAAAACCATGAACGGGATCAGCGGTATACTGTACAATGCGTCTAGTACCATCCGGTTCGACCAAGGAGTAAGCACCTTCCACAACATCACCATTACGGGTTTCATGTTGACTCTTAACGTCACCGGTAGAACCATCCTGCACAAAAAAAAAAAAAAAAAAAAAAAAAAAAAAAAAAAAAAAAACCAACCAACCAAATAAAATCATAGGTGTTATGATGTCGATTAAATAGATATCCTTATGGGCGGGTACCTACATGAATATCATAACTGTAACTATACTGAGGATTAGGATCGTATGGTTCGGGTACCGCCACTTTAGCTACAACAGGAGCAGCGACCTTCGCCACAGCTGGGTAAACAGGAGCAGCGTATTTCGCGACAGCTGGTGCGGCATACGTGAACGGTCCATGATATGCGGGCGCTGGTAGAACGACTGCCGACGCTATAGCCATAAGAGCACTGAATATAATTAACTGCAAAACCAAAACAACAACAACAACAACAACACATTTCGATTTATTTTAATTTTTGCCTTTCTTCGACTATAGGACAAAGGATAACTCGCCTTTTGTACCATATTGTTTGCTATGAAAATGCTAGACAACGAACTTAACTATACCGTGCGTGTGCTAATGAATTAAAACCGTCTTAAATTCAAACGCTGTTTGCAATTCTAAATCCATCATACAGTTCCTTATATACTCGACAAGAAAACTTATGTTAGCTTGTGCCACACTTAAGAAAATTTTTGTTTTGGTTTATTTTTTTTTTTTTTTTTTTGTTAATATAAAATTCATTTGTTTTTCTTGATTTGTTTGTTTTTCTTTTTTTTTTGTTTTTTTTTTTTAATAAAACGCGTATCAAACATATATGTGCATACGCACACATTTCTAACAATAACCGCCGCCCTCTTACATAGATTTAGTGCGGTGGTGGGTAAAATTTATGCAAAATTATTGTATACGCGCAACATAGACAGAATCTATATGACAGAAACATACCAAAAACATATATGCGGAGCACCTATAACAACAGCATTGTATAATAAAGTACAACAAACGTTTGTGTTACTGCATTGTTATTATTAAGCAGTTAGCAACAATCAACAATCGATACATGGATGGATTGATAGATGGATGCATGGCATTACAATTTTGTTGTGATTTTTGTAACCTCCAAATATAATATGCATTAAAAGTTTAAGATCTGATGAAGATTCCCTCTCTAATATCTTATATTGAATTCATCTTAAACTACTAAAATTTCATCATTATCAAGAAAGTTAAATAACTGGAAAAGCATTTCATAGATGAAATCAATTCATAAACTGTCTATAATTTGTACGTATGTAGACCTTTATAGAGAATCCAACTGAAACAGTCATCACAATTGATCCTCTAAGCAGAGTTTAACTACTACGCATATTATTTATTACGTAATTCGTGCATACCCGAAGCCGTGTCCCTTTTATTTATTCCATAATGTAAAAAAGAAGGCGACATTTTGAATCTGTATCGTATAAGTTATTGGTGGGTATTCGACAATCGATGTAAAGGTATCTCATTGTCCTCCTATTTGATCGTCACCTACAGTAAATGTATATAATAAGCGCGACAAGTTCTTTAGGCCTATAGTCACCAGCATATTTTTGGGAGCAGTTCTGTGCTATTATTATTATTATTGTTATTATTACCATTAGTATTACATGTAACACCAAAGTTCTCTGTCAACGTTTACTGCATCTGGCTGCCGTACATTCACCAGCGCAACAGGACTTTAAATCAAAGGCGATATTATAGAAAATCAAAAAAAAAAAAAAAAATATTAAGAATGTTTTTACAAAAGCTTTTCATATCAAGTGGTTTGCATTTTTCTTCATGAAACTTTCAATTTACCTTCGTTCCTTTCAATTTGGCCTATAATAACTGTACAGTGTTGAGCATAAATTGTTAAAGAACATTTCTATAATTTTTAATCATTTAGAATCTAATGAATTAATAAAAGGAGTTTAATATTTCGCGGTACAAGCAGATAGAAAATACATAACTTATTACATAAGTGCTTGTGACCCTATCTCGCACTTCACATCTCACTTCAAAATATTATGCCGTCAAAGGATTTTACATTTCTATTCGAATCCGTTAGTTGGGATAACGTAGGTTGTATTTGCAAATGAATTATTTACGAAAACTTGTATTTATAAGGTTACCATGCTTCCTCTCGACTCTTCCGTTTGTGTCTTCACTCTTTTGACTTTCGCCTTCGGCAAATATTCCCTTTCAAAGGTCAGCCATCAATAACAAATTTCCTTCTGAGATTTTCGTGTTAAACGCCAGCTAAATAGGGCTACTTCACCTTATGATGTCTGCTGAATTACGAGTCCAATTAGAAATTTTACTTCTTAGAAAATCGGATTTGTTTTATGCAGATTCATATTTTATTAAATATGCGATTTTCGTAGTAATATAAGGAACAATTTTTTCAAGTTGGAGGCGAAGAGATTTCTTCATCTCTCTTCCTTTATCACTGCATTGTCCTATTCGTCTTATTTGACTGCAATTAAGTGTAAAATACGAAACATGTGCACAACATATTAGAAGAGATTCATATGTCATATTAGATCATAGCCGAAAACACAAGATTATTGGAGGGGCATCCCTGCAGTAAAGTTTTACTCGCTTAATATATAAAGCAAATGAAGCGAATTTTATTTTTCCTAACAACATCATCATAACGACCCAAAGGCGGCTGCATTATCTGGTGACAAAAATGTCCATTTAAAGTCTGTCACTTTATACGGGTGACTGCTCACCCGGTTTCAATAAAAGTTTCCATCGCTTACCCGAGATCTTTCTCCATTTCTCTAGCTAGTGTATATAGATATAAAGTAATTCAAGCTTTTTCTAATATCTCATGGCAACTTCTTTCTTGCCGTTACTCTTTCGAAATTCCGCTGTTGAATGAAAACAATGCTTCTGCAATGGAAGGGATGTAAGTTAAACAAAATTTCTCGTGTTTTACAAAGTATACGAATAATTTGGGAATTCATCAGAATTGGACTGCCAGCGATAGCATCTGCCAGTGCTTATAATTACGCAATATTTTTAATGAAACGAAAAATCCATTGATTACGAGAAGGAGTAAGCAACACGGAGAATTTCTTCAGTTGTCCCTCTTTCCTTTTTCCTCGCATTCATATAATTCTGAAATGTAATTTTTGGCTTACATCCATTTGCATATTTATATTCAACTCAGCGATTTCTTATGCCGGAGTTTCCATACCTAAATAGTACGAAAGCGAAATATGAGAAGAATTTGCTTTTAGTTTAACAACAAATGAAACATATCTGACATACAGACAGACGGCTGGAATGACACCGAAAACTGCATCACTATTATTACTACCATAATTACTTGCGTGGTCGGGAAAAAACGATGCATAATATTCTGCTCAGTAAACTGCAAAAAAAGTCACAGTATCACAAATATTGTCTGCGTTATCTGCATTTTTCTAAGGGATAACAAAACTTTAGCGACTAAAAAAGAAGTATAATCTTCCAGGAGATTATTAAGCGTGCATTTAAATATAGAAAAAAAAAATAAATTTTTACACGACATTTCTCCAATTTAAGAGGCAGAGGCTCAGCAGCAAACAATTGAATGAAATGGTCCCACCTTGAATCTGAAAACAAAAAAAAAAGAGTCATTTATAGTTATTCTGTTAAGGGAACATATTTTTTGCCAGATGGGTCATTTCAGCCGTCTACAATGTGTAGAAAAATTTTTCCCTTGAAATTTTCAACTTTCTCTCTAGCGCTGATTATTAATTTTTCTCATCATTTTCTCTGCTATTTTTTTGGTGAATCATGTTAAGGATTTTAAAAATGGAATTAACTTGTCGAAGATGCTTTACGGTATTCACTAAAAAGTGTTATTTTAAAGATATTGCAAAAACTCGAATTAGTTGTGTTGTAGTTATGTTGTTTCCCCTTTTTGAAAACGATTTCAAATACCCGCCCGATCAATTGAATATAATATAGTCTCGTCTAGTTTAAAACAGTTCGACAAGTATAGACTATAGAAGAACTACACTATTTAAGAATAACATATAGGTAAGACATTTGTTTCTCTTTATGCTAACGTAGTGCAAGAGTTAACTACGTCGTTGGTGCTGTGTATATATATGCAACACCTAGAACGACATAAAAAGAAAGCCGCTTCCATTTATTATAACAATCGATTCGAACAACAATTCTGAATCACTTTGAACCAGTCTGTCCATAAACTTGTGCTCAACCTATGGATCGTAATGTTCAAGATATTTTCATAAACTGACACACGGATGCACTGAGACATATTGCGACCAACAGGCGAATTCTTTTTACATTATAATTTAAATGTCCGATGGAAAATAGTATTTCGGTCCTGATTAAATGAATGTGGAAATGTTTTAAAGAACAAAAAAAAAAAAAAGCTATATTTTCACGAAAACTGCAAACCGGTCCAATTGTTAATGTTTTTTTTTTGATGATTTCTCATATAAAATATATTATATTTTTTATGTGTTAAACTTAAATCATAGTAATTTATTTTTCGAAAAAATAATAAAAAATTTTTTAGAATAAAAAGTCTCTTCAACAATTTTCTTTTTAGCCCAGAAGAATTTTACCTCAAGTGCCAAAACCCTACATATCAAGGCTTGTGTTGAGTCCTTTGATACCTACAGGTGTAGCTTGTATTTTATGGTCATTTCATTGTACGATAGAGCAAAAGGCTATTGTCCTCGTGTATCGATTGTATATTGTATAGGTGGACGGGAAAATAGGTGCAAAGTGTATTTTTTTGTTCCGTGGCGCAGAAATTGTGAAAAATAGTTTGCACAATACTCCAACAACGTTTTTAAATGTAAGAATACAGACGTAGTAGCTTTTCCATATGAACAGAGAAATAGATGCGTCCATTTATGAAAGGTAAAGTGTGTCTGAAACTAGTTTTTTATACGATTTTGCAGCACTTTCTGGGTATTAGTGACCATGCTACACAACAACAACTTCCAAGTGACTTGGAATTTTCTTTACCACAAAATCTCAGACATGACTTACGGCTCCGTATTTTTCAGTTTTTTGATAATTATGCACCAATTGTGGATTGTGTATTAATTAATTCCTTTTTTTTTTTTTTTTTTTTTTTTTTGTTTTAATAATAAAAGGCTTTTATTTCATCCTTTAAGCAAAATTCTTAAGCAAAAAGGATGAACGCTTCACACACAGACAGACATGATCAAATTGAGCGCTGTATTCGCTTTGATCAAATATACGAGTATGTGTGCTAAATAATATTGTCGATGCATAACTTGATGTGGTACAAATCGTAAGGCAATCAATCCAATGAAGTCCCTACAATAAGTAAAAAGAGCAGGGCAAATGACTTTGCATTGTTGGTTTTACATAAAAATATTAAATAATTTCAAATTTACACGATATACAACACGCTAATGACAAAGTAAATTTTCTTTTCTACAACCAAATGTCTTCTGTGTACACACACACATACGCTAGAGCCGCTGAACGTAAACCTGAAAACCTTTATACAGTACAGTAATCATTTTTAAGATCTGATTGCATCTACTTTTAGGTGAAGAAAGAAAAAAAAACAAAACAAATAAGAAAATTGATATATGTTCATCTGCACCCGAATGCTTTATGCCCAATAATCTCTTTAAAAAAAAAAACACACACACACACACACACGCACGCAAAATGAAATTTAGGCATGCTATGTGTCATTGGATGGATGCAAACGTTTTTCTCCATTTTTGTGTAGATACTATAAGAACATCCAGAGAATACATTTGCAAATTTTTATCCTTGCATCTGCCGTAGTTTACCAATATCTAGCACTAACTCCAAACTCATTTTGCTTTTGAAAGCGGAAATGTTCTCAGTTTATACGATTTTCAATATCATATCGCCTGCAAGAACTTTCAATGCTTTTGACGGAATTACAAGTCGATATAGTCACCCAGGTTGAAAGACGGAAGGTCAGATACATTCAACATTTGATATTGGTCAAAAATGTATATGTATAATTCATAAGGTCACCGAACTTTCCTTTCTGGATATTGTAAGCGTTTAGACGAAGCGAATGTGCTCTCTTTCTCCCTGGCTCTCTAGCCTTTAAGAACACTTTTTCACCGACCCGACTGTACCCTTTTTTTATCTAAAGTTTCTGATTACTTTGTGTGGAATGCGTCGATCAATTTTTCCTATTGTACAAAATTCGACTTTATGCATAACGCATCCTAGTTGTGACCTTCAACGGTAATAGAATCAGCCCAACGTTTCTCTAAGTTTTTTCTCAAGATTTTTAAAATACCGTTCAGTTTCCGCATTGACTTCTCCATTTGGTTCAAGTTTTCTCCCTTAGGGAAACCTTTTGAGATTTGTAAACAGATGATAATTGCTATAGCGCCACATATGGAAAATACGGTTCATTCCGATTATCGAAAATAACTTATATTTATTTATTTTTTTTTTGTTTATGCTTTTTGATGTTGCTATCGCTTTCGCCAGTTCACTAATTGGTGTTCTTGGTTGAAACACTTTTCGAGCAAATACTAAATTCGGGCGGAGTTTTTCTCAATTGACAGTCAATAACAGATCGACACTTGACGTTTTTCACTTCCTCAAAATAATATACATTTTTGTCTCAGCCCGGGAATTATTGATTGATTCATGTATTATATGCATTGGCGAACGATGCGCATTGAAAAATACTGTTCACGTTGAATAGCCGCTGCTCTTTTATACCCCTTATCGGAGGATGAAGGTTATATTTATTTTTTCAAAACATTTGCAACGCTCGGAAGGAAGCTTCATAGACCCCCACAAACACTATATATACTCTTGATCAGCATTAAATTCTGAACCGATTTAAGCAATGTCCGTCTATCAGTCTGTGTAATGTCTGTTGTAAAGTTTTTGCTCGAAAAGGAGCTATCGACTTCAAGTTTGGCAGAATCTTGTTTGGGATTTCTTGTACGCAGGTTGGTATTGAAAATGGGCGACGTGACTCAAAGAATGCGCTTACGATATCACGTAAACTGTGAATAGGTCTGTTTTTTAAGAGGAACAAAAAAAAAATTGGTTTTTTACTCGTAACTCACTACATACTACAGCATATAAAATCTACAAAAACTTGATCCGCCTGAGTAGCCGAAGGCGAGGAATCTCGACTAGCAAGTCAATGGTCGTGGGTTCGAATCTCAAGTGCGGTAGAGTTTTTAATAAAAGCCGATAGCCTTAGATGCTAGTGCTTCTAAGAGTTTAGTCTTAGAATTTATTCTCTGGCGAAATTATTAATAATAATAATAAATAAAAAAAAAAATGGATTTTACTAACGAAGTATATGAAGTATCTGTGATAAATACTCTTCCATGTGAATTAGCAACAAAATATGAAAACGACCGAAACCGGTCAGAGAACACGCCTACAACGCTCGCATGGCTATGCAATAATATCTGTGAACACCTTTGTTTTCCATATGCTTCGGAAGTTGCTCATAAAGTACAACACGCACACCATACAATTTTCCACTTTTAACCACCCATTAATATTATGGTATATGAAAATTTATTAGTTTTCCTTTATTTTTAGGATAACGGTGATGGGTATAAAAGATGCGGTCAGCGCCGAATATAATTTTCTTATTTGTTAATATTAATACGTAAAATGCACGATAATCTATTAAAAATATGCATTTTTATCCGGACCATCTGATATGACAATAATTTTATAATAAATAAATGTCAGAGAGCTTGCGTACGCTTGCTATTAACTTTTGCCCCTGGACGGATAAGCTTGCTTACAATGATCGATAGATACAGACTTCTCGTACGCAAACTCGAACACAATGACAATCGTGTGGCGTTCTCTTATGAAACGTTCGATAATTTTAAGTCAGTTTTTAGACGCTAAAAGGCTTTGTTTGTGTGGATGTTTGCAACACCTACAAAAATTTGAGATAGAGGCACCTTTTATTATACCGATTCGATAACAAGGAAATGATTCTGAATCCATCCGTCTGTCTGTCTGTCTGTCTGTCTGTCTATCATGTGTTCAGCCTACGGGTCGTAATTTTTGAAATATTTTAATAAAATTTTACGCAAACACGAACACTATTGAAAATGGTTCCGATCGGAACACTTTGTCGATTTTTTTTATTCACATAAAGTCTTAGTTCGAAAGGTCGTTATATGAATAACTATATTAAACATAGTGATATAGATTATTTAATGATGGGCTGCGTCCTACTGTAGTGTTTTCCTGTCTTAACAAACAAATTACTTAACACGCACGCTTAGCTGGTCTTTAAATAATACATAGTTGGCTTAGATTATTGTGATTGAATTTTTTGCTTGTAGAGAATGGGGCATAAAATTTTTTTGGCAAACACATCGAGAAACGTATAAATGGATTATTGATAATTATATCGAAAGTTTGTCTAGCACATCTGCAGATTCGAAATCACTATCTATCTATCTATCTATCTATCTATCTATCTATCTATCTATCTA